TCCCTGATATATTCAGTCTCGACCAAAAAAACAAGTCAGTCTAGAGAAGGACACACAAGAATCCCACAGACATGTCAAAAGTCTATTGGAAGATTTTGCCATCAAACTCGAAGATGATATTGTCAACCAGAAAATCATTCTCACGATTTTTCATCTTGCGTGTACGAGAACCTAAGTTGTAACATTGAAACCACCAGATGCACTAACGAGCATGTTTATAAACAATTAAAATAAGATAAATCCTAAAATTCCCAAAAATGACAAAAGCTAATATACTACGTTATACATTTACACCTTATAAATAGACAAGATATAAGATGATGTAAACATGTTTATAATTTAAATGTCAGAAAGCAATACTAATTAATAAAAATTTACACAGACAATACTGTTATACCTAATAAACCTGTCATGGTTCGCTGGTATAGTCACACCTAATTAAATACGTTAGAATACAATGCCCCCGCGACAAGAAATCTGAGTGACTTTATCATATCCAAACTGATCCTAATCCAATATCGTTGTGAGATGCCGGAGTTTATTGGAGAGTAGTCGTTCTTGGTATACTCACACCCACACAGCGTTATACAGTTATGTGTGCTATTTGCGTTAATGTAAAGTAATATAAAAATTTCAAATATTAACAGAAGCTTTACGGTATACGTAAATAAGTTTTATTTTTCCCCATATATTTTACTGACCAAATTCTATCAGTAATGCTACTGATTCATCCTCTAAATGATATCCGCAAATATTAAATTTCTATCAAATGTGTCATTTAATTATTTATTCTTAAAAAGTAACTCTTTAATTTTTATGCATTAAATCAATTTTTTTCTCAAATCGTGGGAACGTTTACACCACATATTTTCTTTATGACAAAATCATTTGAATATTTTACCGAAAGTAGGAACGCACCAGTTATATTCCTTTCTGATAACGGCCATTCATACTCCAGTCATTGAAACTACTTGAACCAGATACAAAGCACTTTGAACGAATACGACCGTGTGTAAACGTCACATATCTACTTGATAATTGTCATATTATACACCTCGATAATTTTGATAAATATTTAAATGCCTGAACGCGTTTGATATCCATTAAAAATATCTTTATCTTCTTAGAAAATCGTTCGAAAATAAAAATTATGAGAAAAATGACAAACATTCTAACTAACAGTTCAAACACTTATCACAAACAAAATAGCGTAACATCTTATCAGCAATGTTAGATAAATGTAGCTGCCGAACGCAACAAAACCTCGTTTGTCTCGAGGTCTGAGGTTAATATTAGATTTACGGTACCGAACGAAAACATCGTTAGTCAGAGAGCTAATATTAGATCTACGGTACCGAACGAAAATATCCTTAGTCAGGGGTTAATATTAGATTTACGGTACCGAACGAAAATCTCGTTAGTCTCAAGGTCTGAGGTTAATATTAGATTTACGGTACCGAACGAAAACATCGTTAGTCAGAGAGCTAATATTAGATCTACGGTACCGAACGAAAACATCCTTAGTCAGGGGTTAATATTAGATTTACGGTACCGAACGAAAATCTCGTTAGTCTCAAGGTCTGAGGTTAATATTAGATTTACGGTACCGAACGAAAACATCGTTAATCTGGGGGCTAATATTAGATTTACGTTACCAAACGGAAACCTCATAAGTCTGGGGGTCTAGGGTTAATATTAGATTTACGGTACCGAACGAAAACCTCGTTAGTCTGGAGGTCTGGGGTTAATATTAGATTTACGGTACCGAACGAAAACCTCGTTAGTCTGGAGGTCTGGGGTTAATATTAGATTTACGGTACCGAACACAAACCACGTTATTCTGTTATTATTTTCCAGCGAATATGGTATTAAAGGTACTGAGCAAAATCCTTGTTAGTGTGGAAATCTGGGATAAATATTAGATTTACGGTATCGAACACAATCCCCGCTAGTCGTAGGGTCTGTGGTTATTTTAGTATGAAATATGAGATTAAAGGTACCGAAACAACAAGGATATATCAACATGTGAGCATGTTCATGAGAACATAGTATAAAACAACTGCCAACAAACGAACATCAGACACGTCTATCATCATATTGCACGAAGAAATACAATATTTCTCAATGATATCATGACTATTACAAAACTTTCCCATAACTTTCACATCAACCTGCATCTTTTGAAACCCTATGTTTTAAGTTTGTCAGTTGACGACGTATTGCACGAAAATTGTGAACAGGCCCAAGAATATCGAATTCAATTGCGAAATATAAACATGATAGGTTGGGGATCTAAGTGTGTTGCTATCCAGAAATGGAAAAACCACAACAGAGAATTTTTAATCGTCGTGCTTACCATACAGCTTGGTGGGAAGCTGTCCATGTTGGTTTCGTTGTAGGAAAACATCGAGTTAACCGGCTGATTTAGAAGAGCCTATCGCGCCCTTTGTGACATGTTTTGATAATCTCTTCGATATCCTTAATCTCGTATGAAAGCAAAAACAAGTCGGCCAACAGAGGGGCACAGTTAGTTCTCATAGATATATCAAAAGATCTTAAAATCAAACTCGAAGATGACATTCTCACCCAAAAACTCGATCACTTTCATTAGTTTGTTGGTCGATGGTCATATTGGTAAGAACTAGATTTACAGTACAGAATACAAACCTCGTTAGTCACGAGGTCTGGAAACATTTTATTAAAAACAATATATATTTAGTAAGGTTATTTTAGTAAGAAATATTTCATTTACGGTAGAAAACACAAACCTAGTTAGTCTGGAGGCCTGGGGGTTTTCTTAGTAAGAAATATTAGATTACCAACATCGAGCACCAACCTCGTTAGTCTTGGAGGCGTGGGGTTATTTTATAAAGAAATATCAGATTTACGGTACGGAAAATAAACCTGGTTAGTCTGGAGCAAAAAAAACGATTGTAGGGACGAAGTGCTACTGTTGGTAAGATCAGGTGGAGCCCAGGTGTGGATTCCCTAACATAACAACCTAAACCTATGGCATGCTCACACTAATAAAAGCGAAACGAAGAGGGACTAATAGAGAAATGTATGGACAAAATCAGGCTGTACTTCAGTGTGACATTTCCTATTCGCTACACCAGGATCTCACACTTCTAGCCAAGTGGAACCAACCTGGTGACCTGGCCCATCAGGCCTGCCTCCCGTATCCCTCCCAAACCGGCCACTAATTATGTATACTGACGAGTGCAATGTGAGGTAGAAAGCCCTGCAATAAAACCACTACAACGTTGCGCCGATCTGTTATTACAAGTCCTATCGAACACCACATAGGCGTTAGGGCGGACGCGGGGTTACGACTGGGTCGAGGAGAGTAATACTTGCAGCCAGTGTTAAATCAAATGTGGACATGACGAAACTGACACAGCTGTGTTTAATCAGTTTTGTATTCTAATGACGTCACGTAATAAATAATTAAATTCATGAATAAAACAAGAAAGGTAAATTTGATAATTCTGTTCATAACAAACCTTATAAATTGTGTCGGTCGTAAAGACGGCTGTTTTATCAGGTCGTTTCAATTTAAAATAGTGATTTGAAGGGAAATTTATTTGGAAGATACAAATGTCTTCCAGATGGGCTTAATATTTTCTCGTAACTAGAAGTGACCCGACCGAACCTCGGCAGAAAGGACAATTGTTTTTCGACACCTTTAAGATAATGTTATATTTTTCCCCATTATGTAAACTAAATGTCTTGGGTAAAGTAAATATCTAAATATATGTGAAAGTTAGAGCTTTATTCCCTTAACACATTAATCAAAGTACTTCGGGAACCATTGATAACTCAGGGAGTCGATTTGATCAGGGACCAACTCCTTTGATTCGATGTAGAATGTTCAAATATAGAAATCCAACAAGAGATACTTGAAGTAGAGTGGATATAAAAGAAAACACTCGACAATTTACTTTGTAAACTTTTATTTAGTTGAGTTTACAGGTGAGATGTATATACGATGTACGTAGCGTGAAAGTCACCCTTGAGTGGTGGGCAGGCCGAGCGTCCTACCTGTGACGGGCCGTGACAAATGACTTTAGGCAGAGGCGAGAGAGTTTTCCCACGATCCGCGCTCCACGTGTTTGTGTATCTGTCTCTACCAGCGTCTGTCGCGCGACTTTGATGAGTCTGTATATAGTAGTCCGCTCATACTTTAATTCACCTGTGTTACACCTTGAAGATTTAAAGGATTAATTAGAAAGTTTATCTAATAAAAGTACGAAATTAATTTGTTCCGTTTATGATGTGCTGTGTTCGTCAATAAACATCATATTTTTTGTCAATATGTTAACATCTAAGTCCACCACCGATAGCTGCACAATGGCTTACATTTTATTAAAAATAACTTTATTCGACAGTCCGCCGCGTATATCGGTTAAACTCTAGCTCAAATAATGTAAATAACTATCAATGCAAAATTACCATACATATGAGACACAAGTCATAAGGGAGGTCAATAACTATATTTTAAATCCATTGAAAGCATAGTTTAAGTATTCGATTGCAACAAAGACTTCTGTGCAAAATTGGGTTTCAATGGGAAAGCACACCAGATGACTACTACAGGGCACCTCCTGTACTGTACATACTACTAGTGTAATAGCCGCGATCAACATTTGTTTCTTTTAAAAATAAACCAGTTTAGTAGGCTGACCGGTAAAGGTTCTAAATCGATATATATTAATACAGCGTCTTGTTAAAAACATAATATGCTTAGAGAGAGCTATAGACAAGACGTCTACTGCTCGGGTCTGTCCTACACGAGCGGTCGCGTGAGTTGCGCGTGCCTACTGTTGACATGGAGCAGTACACTACTATCTGCCGCATCAGATTACCCCCAGCCATTGGATGATACAGAGAGCGTGCCTCGGGATTCCACAACTTATACGATGATGCGTAGAGGTTAGGTGTTGTTTGAAAACTTGTGGAACCAAGTATTGGGTAATCTTAATGTAACGGCATCGCAATGCTAAAACATGCAAATGAACTAAATTGATTTGAAGAACCCATTGTGCTATGGTCACATGCTTGAGTGCGTGTCCGAGGTTCGCACGCCACTGCGCCGACACCTGACCGATAGGCCTGTAGTGGAAGACTTCGGAAACAGACAGCATTGCCCCTTTAATTTTAACAGATACGAGGACATGCGCAGTGTATACCTGAGTGTAATAATAATAAGTTCCCACACCGTGTACGATGGAGTAAAAAATTTGTGATCATCGCGAAAGATGCAAAAGGATTTAAATTATTTGTACCGTGGAAAAATTCAACAACGATGTTAATGGATACATCTTATAAAAAAATTCCGATTACAGGATTTGTCAAGTTTTGTGTCTGTAGGAATGGTTATTGGCGAATCCTTGGAATCTCTATGTGTGATTTTGCTTCGGAATGCTTCTCCAAGCCAGGTATGTTTAATGGTTAGCAGGGAGAGAACCTTCCCACGATCAGATTTTGGTAGGAAAAACTATGATCCTTTCCAGTTTATTTGTTTTTCTGGCAATCTTGGGAATTTCAACTGGTTCTGGCTACTTTGAAATTCAAATTACAACTATCCGGAATCCTAGAGGAGAAGTATTAGACGGAGATTGTTGTGACGGGGAAAGGGATGCTGAAAATAAGTGTGTAGAGCAATGTGATACCTTCTTCCGTGTTTGTCTCAAGGAATATCAAAGTAGGGTAACGGTCGATGGCCACTGTACATTTGGAAATGTTACAAGCCAGGTTTTTGGAGGAAATACCTTTACTTATCCGATGGATAGTAGCCGAACCCGACTAAAACTTCCTTTTGAGTTTTCCTGGACGGTAAGTACGATTTTGTACTCTAGCAATAATATTACTTATTTTAAGTTTAAATTGTTATTAACTTACGTCCTGAAATAAAATGTGATACCGATGATAGGTATAAGGTTTATGTGACTGGAACAATGTCACTTTATAAGAGACCGTAAGAGTGAGTCGTCTGCCTACTGTGATTCAGGGGTCCTCAGAAGAGCAACGTTTGCCATGCGTGGGAGATTTTCTCACGCTCGTCAGTTCAGGTGTATATACAACCGAACTGTTGTCTATTTACCCTATGGGCCGAATATATACGTATTCTTTACAAGTGATCTGCTTGTTTGGCTTTCATTTAAAGATTACCTATGAAAGATAACACGGCGTTGCATGTATCATATCCATAATTCGCAGTACGGAGAAAATCTGTAATAGCGACCAAATACGTCATCATAGAAAAAAAACTTTATATCTGTATGTGTTCATCACCATCAGCTGAGACACTACATAACAATAAGGACACGTTTCATCTGTTATATTATTACATCACAGCCAGGTTTGTTTTGGTGCCTTGTAAAAAGTATAGGAGTGTATGGACTAGTGACTTGTAGATTCTGCCCGACACAGCTATATAGAATGATGATGAGGTACATTTTTGACATACAATACAGATGATGCATTGTATTCTAATGACCTGATAGATATTAAAATCTCATTACTGTGTCAAAAGGTGTGCGTGTGTTACAGTCTGGTAAAAACCAGCGCTCATTCTGAAGGAAGTCTCCTCCCTTCGTATAGTAAAACACGCGCATACGCGTGGATAAATTTCATTGATACATTTGCCAAGAATATGCCAACCTATTTCAAATGTGGCAGAAAAGTCTGTTTACATGCGCCTCTGGCGTGACTAAGACGGCCCAGTACGTTTCAAGGTATTGCCGAAGTTCTGTTAGATGAGCAAGGTGTAATTTAGTGATCAGCATAACGTGCCGTCACAATGAATCGGTAATATATCCCTCACGTGAGGAAATGAGTATGTTGTTGCTAGGCTGTCTAGTGTGGATAATAAACTGACCCATTTGGAGGTTGTCATCTACTCATGATGACAGACGTAGCCCGTAAATATGTCTCGTCATCTACCGTGTAAGTTAAAGCCAGCATTTACTTATAATCGTTTGTATCAAACGGTGTCACGGTGTATCGTTCAGTCGTTTGACATAACGGTCGAGGTGATGATTACAGACATGTGCGAGGCAAATTACAAAGTCATTACCGGCAGGCGACATGCTCGCGATGACGGGCGCCGGAAGTTGGCACGCGTCGTCACTGGTTGACGGAAGTCACAAAATTGGACTGTCAATATGCTTGAATTGCTCTCAAAGAGTTTAACGATTACACATCACGTCGCTACTTTTGTATTCAACAGGAAAATCTACTTAATATATGTTTATGTAACACGTATAGTCGGATAGTGTAAAATCAGTAGAAACGGAAACAGAATAACAGTTGTTTTCCTGGTATACAAAAAGGTACACTTGTTACACTAAACACCAAATGTAATGATATATGTTCTGTACAGTATAGAGAGTGTAATGCTGTGTGTATCAAGGTATAACACGGTGAATATATAATATATATCAACCATGCATTTCGGAAAGCTGTATAAAATAATATATGCAAGGTATTGTGTGCAGACGTAACAAAGCAATAAAGAATGTATGATAGTAACTTGTCATTCTGTAAGATATCTTATTCATTTTCTAAATCGTGTTTTGTATATTAGAAATCGTGTGATGTTTATAAGAAATCGTGTGATATATATTAGAAATTGTGTTATGTATATCAGAATTCGTGGGATTTATATCAATAATTGTATAATGTATAGTAAGAGTTGTTTGGAGTAAATTTGTAATTGTGTAATGTATGTTAGAAATCGTGAGCTGTATATTAGAAATCGTGTGCTATACATTAGAAATCGTGTGCTCTGTATATTAGAAATCGTGTGCTCTGTATATTAGAAATCGTGTGTTTTATATAAGAAATCGTGTGTTGTATATTAGAAATCGTGTGCTGTACATTAGAAATCGTGTACTCTGTATATTAGAAATCGTGTGCTGTATATTAGAAATCGTGTGTTGTATATTAGAAATCGTGTGCTGTGTATCAGAAATCGTGTGTAGTATATTAGAAATCGTGTGCTGTATATTAAACATCGTGTGGTATATATCACAAGTTATCAAGTTGACAGTGTACTCCATACCCACATCCTGTACAGTTATTATAATCTTTATTGAAGAGGATATTCAAAAGTAGATGTAATAAAGTGGATTCTTAAATAACCTGTTCAGTCAAAACCGATGGTGTTTTCCTATTAAAAACAGCATTCATTGTTATTCAACTAGAATATCATTTCACACGACCTAATAGTCTACATCATCGTGCAGGTATATGAGTTTAAATACCGTTTGCTACATGTTTTGCGATGATAATTAAGGACAAATTGACTTGAAAATAGCGACGGAGATCAATTTGAGTTTTGGTGGATCGCGTTCCCACGCTAAGAGTTTTATTCACATTGCTGACGAGGATGTGCCTGCCCTATCTCTATCAACGGTTAGGATACATAGACACGGGTCTCTTTTATCACCACATAATACACGTTATAGAATACACGGTAACATTTACATAATAATACACATTCTATATCACACCATGCCTACTGTATGTTATATAATACACTATCCATTTAATATACAGTGTATTATATAGAGACAATCGGTAAGTAGTACATAATACTGTACAAACAAGATTACACAGTTATATAATTCTAACTACATAATAAAATATTATACACAGTAAATATTATATATGGTAGGTATAATATAATACACAGTATATACTATAGTAAATACAGTAAATACATAATGTAATAAACATCCTAGTATATCAGACTATACACAGTTAACAGTATATGATACACAACATATACTAATATACAAAACGTGTTAACTATTACATAATTCAAGGTAAACGTAAATAAAACAGTGTATTGTATGTCATACACAGTAAATATCATAAAGCACACAGTAAACTTTATAGTAAATATATATATACTACAGAGTATATGATATACAATCAATGTTTTATAATACATTAGCGTAATACACAGTCCTTATTAGATAATACTCTGTGAACGTTATACAATGCAACAGTAATATTACGTAAACACTGTCAATACATAATATACCATGAATTTTATCTCGTACTCTGTAAAATTATAATACAGAAGATATTCAGTTGTAATATATACTATTATTACACGCTAGATAAATACTATATAATACAAAATAAATAATAAAATTCTTAGTAAATAAAATACAAAGCGGATATTACTTAATGTACATAACAGTAAGCTGCGTATTTCACATGATGCACGACTTATTTTCTGTAATACACGGTTCATGCTAGGTCATAAACTGCCCAATTTCTTCTGTTTATCCATTTCAAACTGACGGAGTTTTCTACATCACAACTGTTTTATATGGATATAGACAATAAATTCATGATATAACAATACGTTTGAATAGATGGTGATTATTATATAACATTTCTACACGTCGATAATAAACATGTTGATTGTACGTAAACATGAATAATAAAAAGAAAAAATCTATTCCAAGACAATCTTTTATATAGTCTTAATAACCATTTTGCCAAGTGTAGACATAGTTGAAGATAAAATAATAAATGTTTATAATTATACAAAATTAAAAAAGTTTTATAGAAGACACTAACAGATAATGAGATGAATGTAGATATCTCTACAAACACCCTGTTTAAAGGTAATATAATGAATCTTTTGTAATCTTTGTTTTCTTATATTTTTCGAGAAAAGAAATTTTGCTTGAATTGTAATACCATCGGTAACCAATGTAAGTAGTGTGTTAATGTGGTTCTGTTAAGTTTAAATACACTGCCAGTATATTTTTTTTTGATGAAACATAGATGTTCTGAATGTAAAGAGGTTAAGTACTATTTTGATGGGAAAAAGAGAGAAAAAGCGAAATGTAAAACCTCGCTTACAAGTCATCATCATTATCATAAAATTGTAAAGAATCTGAACCGTTATGAACTGACAACCGCCTTTTGGACTATTATTGTATATTAACATCTTAACAATATGGTTCACTATAAATTTGGTCGGTAGTACCTCTTAGTGATAAAGGATTGCTTTATTATTTCTTATATTACATTACCATGATATTTCACTATTAACTTGATTTTGGAATTTTTCAGTTCTATATATCATTATCATATCATCAGTGCAATTATGAATTCAATATGTTGATGCGAGGTGGGAACTATCGTATGTGTTGTAGATTGAACACAACCGAAACAGCTGTAGTTTGGCACGAGTCGTACTGTAATAGGCGGTATAAAACATTAGCTGATAAAGCACAGATTTAATATTCAAAGTGAGGGTAATGCACAGTCACGTGGTTTTCATTATCATACCAGGAGATCGTACGAGCGAGGGCTTGTAGATGGATATTATCTCCCGATCCCATCTTCTTAGATGTTAGAACATTTGTAATATTATCTTAATTTCCCTCGGAGATTAGCAGATATGATTTCGTTATTATATGCAATAAATTGAATCAATCAATCAGCGAAGATAATGAAAGAAAAAGGGATATGTTGATTGGTAATGAGGCCACCAGACGATAACCACCTAGCATGGGAAACACACCACGTTATCCCGACATCCCGGGACAAGCATACCTAGCTTCACATGAAGTACATATCCGTGAAGTAACCGTTCCGCACGAGCGCGCTGTGCACATAAAATAACTTCAACAACACCACTTTAAACAGTATCACAACTTATATTTGAATACGAAAAAAATATTTGTTATTTTGGTGAGCAGTGTTAACAGTGTCAAAGCAACATAAAAAACAAACGAAAATGAAAAAAAAAATAAATAAACAGACAAGTTAACAAAATTATTGTTGAAACGTAGAACTGATAA